GGAAATTCTCTGTTACTGTTATAGCAACAACAACAAAAAAAATCACTTTTTGTCGCCTGAAATTGGGAGATTTTAATTGTGGGTTTTATCCCCCAAAAGCTTGCGCAAACTATGAAATACTTTTCGGTTGGTTACAATCAAAATTATCCAATGGACTGTTGTTTTATTTTGTGGTTTATTCTGATTATGCTCTGTTTATATTCCCCTTTTCTGGTTTTTTTTTATCTGTTTTTGTAAAGTTGGGGTTTTTTATTCGGACAAGCTAATTTCGATTCCGTAATTTTGGACTCATTTTGACTAATTACTTGTTTCTTCTCCTTCCATTTCACATCTCTCTCTCTCTCTTTTATTCTTTGTGGTTTAAAGCTTTTGTTTTCTTTTAGATTGGTCCTTGCAAAAGTCACTTTTTTTTATTATATGTTCTTGGATTTTTAGACCCTATAGAATAATATATTTCTAAAACCAATCCATTCCACAACAAATCTCTCAAGTAGAATATTCAATTCCATACACAGAATCAAAACCAATTAAAAAACATTGGTTTTTTTTTGGCTGAAACTTTGCAGAGTCACCAAAAGAACAGAGTCCAGCAAAAGAAGGGAGACACATTAAGGAAGCTCAGAAGTTGCCATCAAACCCAGAAGAAGTAGAAGATCTAAGACGTGACACAGGAGCTAATCCTCTTATTGCTTTCACTTACGATGAGCTTAGGAATATTACAGGGAATTTCAGACAAGACAGAGTTCTTGGTGGTGGTGGATTTGGAAGTGTTTACAAAGGTTTTATCAAAGAAGATTTAGGTGATGAAGAAGTTCCTCAACCACTTCCTGTAGCCGTTAAAGTTCACGATGGCGATAATAGCTGTCAGGGTCACAGAGAATGGCTGGTTAGTCTCTCTGTCTTTTGCTTGTCTTCCAAGTTTCACCAATCAACCATAAGTCAGATATAAGTAAAGTTGAAAGCTCTGATCATGTGGAGTAAGCGTGTTCATTGCTCGATAACGGTTTAAGATCAAATTGGGTCCTTAGTTTGTAGCAGAGCTTTATGAGACTAACTCGAGGCGAGAATTGCTTGAGATTCTTATGTATTGTCTTCTATGTTGTGTAGGCAGAGGTGATATTCTTAGGGCAGCTTTCGCATCCAAACTTAGTGAAATTGATCGGTTATTGCTGCGAGGATAATCACCGGGTGCTTATCTATGAGTACATGGCTCGTGGTAGCGTTGAGAATAATCTTTTCTCAAGTGAGTTATAGAGTTGTTACATTTATTTGTCTTCTTGCTGGAAATCGCTCTTGAGTGGGATAAGGAATTTTGAGTTTATGTGTATCCTTGGTAGGAGTGTTGCTTCCTCTTTCATGGGCAATTAGAATGAAGATTGCTTTTGGAGCAGCCAAAGGACTTGCCTTTCTTCACGAAGCAAAGAAACCCGTCATTTATCGCGATTTCAAAACCTCCAATATTCTTCTAGATATGGTTAGTTGTAGTTATAGTAGTATTACATCAAGCTCTTCTCTTGTCCATTCACACAATGTGGAGGTTTCATATTGGTGTTGTAACAGGAATACAATGCCAAATTATCTGACTTCGGTCTTGCTAAAGACGGTCCTGTAGGAGATAATTCCCATGTTTCGACTCGCATAATGGGAACTTATGGCTATGCAGCTCCTGAATACATCATGACAGGTAAGTAATACAGTCTGCTAAACTCGCAAGATGCACTTTTTAAGAATGTGTTAGGCAATCTTCTCACAGCCTCTACTTCAGCTCTGTGAAATCTAATCTTCTTTAGCAATATAAAGCTAAAGAGACAACACTTTGTTTGAGTTTTCTTCGCAAAGATGTTTTTGGATATGCAATAAGTTTGTTGTGTTTGGATTCTTTCTCGGTGACAGGCCATTTGACACCGAGGAGTGATGTGTATAGCTTCGGTGTAGTCTTGTTAGAGCTTTTGACAGGAAGAAAATCATTAGACAAATCACGCCCTACGCGTGAGCAAAACCTCATAGATTGGGCTCTTCCATTGTTGAAGGAGAAGAAGAAAGTCTTGAACATCGTAGACCCGAGAATGAATTGTGAATACCCGATTAAAGCGGTTCAAAAGGCTGCAATGTTAGCTTACCATTGCCTTAACCGGAATCCAAAGGCTCGGCCTTTAATGCGAGACATTGTAGATTCTTTGGAGCCACTTCAGGCCACCGAAGAAGAGGCCTTACTCGTCCCCACTGTTCAAAAAGCAGTTGTGACCATTATCGATGAAATGCCTAAGAATGAGTTGAAGAAAGTTGAAGAATTGAAGAAGGTTGAAGAGTTAAAGAAAGTTGATGAGGTGAAGAAGGTTATAGATGATGATGATAATAAGTCACAATGTAATTGATTCACTTGGTTCCTTTTTCTTTAGTTTTCTTAATATACAACTTGAAAAGTGAAAGACTAGATTGTATTGTGTGTATTTTGACAAAAATAACAGATTAAGAGAGAGAGATACAAAGGTTTGTGAACTTTCTTCTTCTATTGAAATACAAAGCTTAAACCTTTTTGTATGTTCTCACTTCTCAGTAACACACATTGTGCTATTGATGATAAACTATGCTTAATTATCCGATCAAAAGAACAACATAGTAATAATTCTGAGTCAAGTTAATAAGTAATGGACCGAGTCGCTATTAGTGGATAACCCGAAAGGCTAATAAAAGCCTTATTAATGATTCGAAAAATAAGCCTTATTTTAATATTGGTAATCTGATTTATTTTCCATTGTGTATAGCTAGTGTGCATTGTACATCAAATGTTCAGTCCTCATATAGATGTTTATGATAAAGTGGAATTTTAGAATTCATTGTACATTTCAATTTTGGTTTTTAATTTTTAACCATAAAATTAAAAACCCAAACACAATGAACACTCCTCATTTTCAATATTTTTTCGTAGTTTCTATACGGTTGGATGTGATATTTATGGTAATAAAGATCTCACCATATCATTCTAAAAAGAGTAAGTATGTGAGTTTCAATTTAGCCTCAATAAGCTAGGTACATATGTACAGTGTGCACAGAAAAATCGTCTGAGAAGATCTCTGAGTTTCAATTTAAAGATTTCACTCTTTTTTTCTTTGTAACATTATTGAGAACATGTGATGTTATTTGTCAAATAATATAGGGTCCCTAGCTATAAGCTCAAATGACAGGTTGTTAATACTGTATCTATTTAATAATACCATGTGATGATATATCGAAACTATAAGTAATAGTGGCCCAAACATTTCCTTTGCATTTAGTTTTGAAACTTAATTTCTTACAAAAATGGTATTTTGGCTAAGTGTGATCGTTTGTTTTTTCACATTTGCAACCTCAACTCCACCGGGTGATCCAGTCAAATGTGAGTCCGGGAACACAATATGCACGGTTACGAATTCCTATGGAGCCTTTCCCGACCGTTCTATATGCAAAGCGGCCAAGGTGGAGTACCCGAAGACCGAGGCTGAGCTCGTCTCTGTGGTGGCTGCAGCCACTAGAGCTGGCCAAAAAATGCGGGTCGTGACTCGGTACTCTCACAGCATTCCCAAGCTGGTTTGCACTGACGGCAAAGACGGAATTCTCATAAGCACCAAGCTTCTAGACCACGTGGTTCGAACCGACCGTGAGGCCATGACTTTGACGGTTGAGAGTGGCGTGACGCTAAGGCAGCTGATCGAAGAAGCGGCTAAGTTGGAGTTGGCTTTGCCATATGCACCGTATTGGTGGGGACTTACGGTTGGAGGACTGATGGGGACAGGTGCTCATGGAAGTTCTTTGTGGGGTAAAGGAAGTGCGGTTCATGATTATGTGACGGAGATAAGAATGGTGAGTCCCGGTTCGGTTTCTGATGGGTATGTGAAGGTTCATGTTCTTAGTGAGACTATGAATCCTGTAGAGTTTAACGCAGCCAAAGTTTCTCTAGGCGTTCTTGGTGTTATTTCTCAGGTATATAATTTGAATCCTTTTTATTTTCTTGTTTATGCTACATTTGGAAATGATCACATTTTTCTATATTTTGGGAAGGTAACTTTCAAATTGCAACCGATGTTCAAGAGATCCTTAACTTACGTTATGAGAAACGATTCGGATTTTGGAGAACAAGCCGTGACTTTTGGGGAAAAGCACGAGTTTGCGGATTTCTTGTGGTTACCGAGCCAAGGCAAAGTGGTGTATCGAATAGACGACCGAGTTCCGTTCAACACTCCGGGAAATGGCTTGTTTAATTTCTTCCCATTCCGTCCACAACTCACTGTGGCTTTAGCCATCACCAGATCCTTAGGTTCATTCTTTATTTCTCAAGATACTCGTATCTATGATTTGTGTGGTTATAATTCTTCTTATATGGTTTTGGTCCACAATATGAAGAGGAGCGTGACGAGTTGTCTAGAAATGCAAATGGGAAGTGTGTGAGAGCAAGACAAATAACATCCTTTTTGTTTGGAATCTCATATGGTGTGACCAATAATGGTAACTAATCTCTCTTGATTGTTTCCATACAAGATTATTTTTATGTTCTACATATTCACCGTACGTTCTGCTGTAGGCTTTGTGTTCACAGGCTATCKAGTTATCGGAAGCCAAGACCGTATGATGTCTTCCGGTACGTGTCTAGACAGTCCTCGGGACGGATTGATCACGTCTTGTCCGTGGGATCCACGCATAAAAGGCGAGTTTTTTCATCAAACAACATTTAGTGTTCCTCTCACACACGTCAAAAATTTCATCAACGACATCAAAGAACTTGTGAAGATCAAACCCGAATCTCTATGCGTCCTTGAACGCAGCAACGGTATCCTCATGCGCTATGTCACATCCTCTCCTGCTTTTCTTGGAAAAGAGCAAAATGCTTTAGACTTTGACCTAACTTACTACCGAAGCAAACATGATCCTTTGACACCACGTCTGTACGAGGATTACATTGAAGAGATCGAGCAAATGGCGATATTGAAATATAATGCGTTGCCACATTGGGGGAAGAATAGGAACCTAGCGTTTGATGGCACGATTACAAAGTACAAGAACGCAAATGCGTTTTTGAAAGTAAAAGAGAATTTGGATCCTTTAGGGTTGTTTTCGACACAATGGACGGATCAGATTCTAGGTTTAAAAGGAAATGTGACGATTGTGAAAGAAGGATGTGCATTGGAAGGACTGTGTATTTGTTCTGAGGATTCTCATTGTGCTCCGAACAAAGGTTATTTGTGTCGACCAGGTAAAATTTATAGAGAGGTTAGAGTTTGCACTCGGGTAAGTGCCTAAGAAAATCATTTGAAATTTTAATGAAATGATTTGAAAGCATTACGTTTCGATCTCTCTAAAGCTTCTCAATTTTCTCTAAATTTTGTCCACTCCTAATCGCTCTTGATCAAATTCTTTACGATTCTTATTGTTTGTAGTTTGAGTCTTTGAGGCTTTGGGCCTTTGGCTTAGTCAATGATCAATATCTGCTCAGAAATATCTTTCCAAAAACACATTTTGGTAAATCAAATTAGATTTTCATATTTTTTTTGTTGATAATGGAGGAAAATAAATGTTTGCTACAAATTACAATTAGATATGCTATGTATCTACCGGTCATTAAATGAAAGATTGGAAATGGTGATGTATCTTTCTAAACATCTATGAATAAGCGTAGTTCTTTTTGTTTATAGTAATGTATCTTATTTTCATATATTTTCTTTATTCCCACATATATATATAGTCCGCTTGTCTTTTTGGCCGAATCTGCCACTAATAAGGATTCAC